GTGTGTGTGTGTGTGTGTGTGTGTGTGTGTGTGTGTGTGTGCGTGCAGGTGGGTTTTTTTTGACTCTCCGCAAAATATCTCATGAAGCACTTGACAGGTTTTAATAAAATTCTCTGAGTCATTTCATTTCGAGATGGCTGCCACAGCGAAGTGGCCTTAGAAATCTTGAAGCATGGACTCTTGGAATATTGCCAGTTACGTTTAGCTGTGTTGTTCTTTAGTGCACTGACAATAATGGTACAATGACCTGAACTGAAAACATGGAAATGGTTAAAACTCTGTAAATTTTACAGAAATTGATATCCAATTTGACGTGTAGTAACTGAGTCATTCCCAACGTGTATTCTGAGTGCTTCACATTGTGCAACATCTTCACCTTTAACTTTGACATTATCTGTTGGAGAAAACTGTGTGTGTCTGTTATCCGAATATTCAATGAGCTATTGGACAAGTTTTAATGAAACTTTCAGAAATTATTCATTACATGTACCTCTACAACCTTGACTTTTTGATGTCAAAACAATTTAAAATGGCTGCAGTTAAGATGCTTCTTTGAAAATTTTGTAATTAAAAGTGGTGGCTGATAAATGTGCTAATTTATGTCTTTCATTCCATTTGCCGTCTCTAGAATACAAGATAAAAGCTGGCCCACCAGCAGCTCTCTGGTTCCACAAGTTTGGCTCTTTTTCCTGGCTGTTGAATAAGAAATCATGCTGTGTCCATCTCTGACAGCTTTAAGTGCCTCCAGAGAAACCAGATGGGTGGCTTTGACCACAGCTCTCCCTTGAAAATTATGCATTTGGTCCAACAACATACACGTTATGTCTTGAATGGTGAATCTTTGGTATCTCGGTGTCCGGCTAAAGTAAAATGAATTCAGTACAAGTAAGAACTGAAATAAAAACACAATTCTTGTACTCAGTTAATGAGATTTAGCATTCCCGACTTATAATACTTGTGAGAGTACAGCACTTCTGCAGCCCGGACCCCAATCATCCACACCTGCAGGCCGTCCTATTGATGAGGATCCTCCACTACTTAAGGCTGCAGATGAGCTCTCCTCCCTGCTGGAGCATCGACTAGTGATTCATGCTCACCTGTGCCTTCAAGTGCCTCCGTGTGCTGACTTTCTTGGATCCCAGCACCTCCTTGTGTTCATTGCCCTCCATCCACTGGCCTGCCAAAACCTGTGTCTCTTCCTGGAACCTTGTGGAATCGAATCCAAGACCTGGACCTCCTCTCAGCCTGTAAGATAAGAAATACATATTTAAAATCCTCAGCCTCTAAGTGGAACCTCTCTGATTTATATCCTTGCCCCTCAGGACTCCAGTGGATCATCATTGCACATTTAATATCAATCTGTGAAAATAAACACTGTTAACTTTTCTACGTGTGGAGCCTTGTCTCGCTCACTGGTTTTCATACTATCTGGGTTCCTGGAGTTCTGACAGAAATGCTTCAGCCAAATCAGAACACCCAGAATGAGACCTGGGGGCGAGCAAGCGTCTCTCCTTTCACAGACTAAACGGATTGACAAACTTGAGTCAACTTTACAACAAATTCTGACCCAACAACAGACAGCTGAGTCCAACATGGAAGAGGTTGGAGGTATGTTGTACTCTATAACCCAACAACTCGCTTCTGTGCTCCCTACAGTTGCAGCTGCAAAGCCTGAAACTAACGTCACCAGAACCACCACAGAGTTGGTACCACATACAGGTCCTTCTCAAATAATTAGCATATTGTGATAACGGTCATTATTTTCCATAATGTAATGATAAACATGAAACTTTCATATAATTCAGATTCATTGCTCACCAACTGAAATATTTCAGGTCTTTAATTGTTTTAATACTGATGATTATGGCATACAGCTCATGAAAACCCAAAATGCCTGTCCCAAAAAATTTGCATATTTCATCCCACCAATGAAAGACAAGTGTTTTTAATACAAAAAACACCAACCTTCAAATAATCATGTTCAGTTATGCACTCAATACTTGGTCGGGAATCCTTTTGCATGAATGACTGCTTCAATGCGGCGTGGCATGGAGGCAATCGGCCTGTGGCACTGCTGAGGTGTTATGGAGGCCCAGGATGCTTCGATAGCAGCCTTAAGCTCATCCAGAGTGTTGGGTCTTGCGTCTCTCAACTTTCTCTTCACAATATCCCAGAGGTTCTCTATGGGGTTCAGGTCAGGAGAGTTGGCAGGCCAATTGAGCACAGTAATACCATGGTCAGTAAACCATTTACCAGTGGTTTTGGCACTGTGAGCAGGTGCCAGGTCGTGCTGAAAAATGAAATCTTCATCTCCATAAAGCTTTTCAGCAGATGGAAGCATGAAGTGCTCCAAAATCTCCTGATAGCTAGCTGCATTGACCCTGCCCTTGATAAAACACAGTGGACCAACACAAGCAGATGACATGACACCCCAGTGACTGTGGAAATTTGACACTGGACCTCAAGCGATGTGAATTCTGTGTCTCCTCTCTTCCTCCAGACTCTGGGACCTTGATTTCCAAAGGAAATGCAAAATTTACTGTAATCAGAGAACATAACTTTCGACCACTCGGCAGCAGTCCCAGGCGAGATGCTTCTGACGCAGTCTCTTGTTCAAAAGTGGCTTGACCTGGGGAATGCGGCACCTGTAGCCCATTTCCTGCACACGCCTGTGCACGGTGGCTCTGGATGTTTCTACTCCAGACTCAGTCCACTGCTTCCGCAGGTCCCTCAAGGTCTGGAATTGGCCCTTCTCCACAATCCTCCTCAGGATCCGGTCACCTCTTCTCGTTGTGCAGCGTTTTCTGCCACACTTTTCCCTTCCCACAGACTTCCCACTGAGGTGCCTTGATACAGCACTCTGGGAACAGCCTATTCGTTCAGCAATTTCTTTCTGTGTCTTACCCTCTTGCTTGAGGGTGTCAATGATGGCCTTCTGGACAGCAGTCAGGTCGGCAGTCTTACCCGTGATTGCGGTTTTGAGTAATGAACAAGGCTGGGAGTTTTTAAAAGCCTCAGGAATCTTTTGCAGGTGTTTAGAGTTACGTCGTTGATTCAGATGGTTAGATTAATAGCTTGTTTAGAGAACCTTTTCATGATATGCTAATTTTTTGGGACAGGCATTTTGGGTTTTCATGAGCTGTATGCCATAATCATCAGTATTAAAACAATTAAAGACCTGAAATATTTCAGTTGGTGTGCAATGAATCTGAAATATATGAAAGTTTCATTTTTATCATTACATTATGGAAAATAATTACCTTTATCACAATATGCTAATTTTTTTTAGAAGGACCTGTACTGTCCCTGAGGTAAATATTAAACCCTCTGAGTTTTTCTATGGAGACCCAGATCATTGTGGGGGATTTATGCTGCAGTGTCGGCTAGCCTTCAAAAAGGCACCCCAGCTATATGCTTCAGACGAAGCCAAGATTATATATTTAATTAGCCAACTGAAGGGGGATGCGCTCCGTTGGGCTAATTCATATACGTCATCTCACGATATTGACTCCTTTTGATACCTTTCTTGAAGAGTTCATCCTCATAATTGACCATCCGTTGCAAGAAGCAGCAGCCGTAAAGCGGCTCCTCTCTTTACGTCAAGGCAGGTGGACAGTGTCGGAGCACGCCCTCGAGTTCCGCATCATCGCAGCTCATACCGGCTGGGAAAAGAAAGCTCTCCAAGGTACGTTTCTAAGCTCTTTATCTGAAGAGATTAAGGATCACTTGGCCTTCCATGATGAACACGAGGATTTTGATGAATTAATTCGTCTTGCCATCCGCATTGATGGTCGTCTTCGTGAACGGCGGAGAGAAAGAAACTACAATTCCCAGCATCACTCCACTTCCGGGTTCGGCAGTTTCTGTGACGTACAGCCCGCCTACAAGCCTGAACGGAGGGATTACAACCCCCAGAGACTTTTTGCTGCCAGGAGTTACTCTACACATGGTGACAACCCAAACTTCTCATCCACGTTGGAAACAGAGCCAGAACCTATGCAAGTGGGTCGAACCCGTCTCACACCTAAGGAAAGGCAGAGACGAATTAAGAATAACTGCTATATTTACTGTGGAAGACAAGGTCATTACATTGCCCACTGCCCGTTTAAGGGAAACGGATCAGCCCATCAGTAGAGAAGGAGATAGTGGTGCAAACTTTATTTTCTCTTTCATCTCGGTTGACTTTGCCCGCTATTATCCAGATTCATACCAATTGTTTGCCCATTTCAGCCTTGGTGGATTCTGGATCTGAACAAAACCTGATCAGCAGAGACCTGGTCGAACGCCTATCCATTCCTACCCAGGTGATTCAACCCCCTCTGGCTGTGGCAGGTTTGACTGGACACACACTCACCCAGACTCAAGATTGAAGGAGTCCATATTATCATTTTTGGGAACTACCATGAGGTCAGTGATTTTTTTGTGTTTGACTCCCCCAACCCGCAA